AATGCTTTAAAAATAACAAAATAGATGAGCGTAAAAAAATTTGCTTTTACATATACCATAATACTGTTTATTTATAAGAAATGATATACCTTTTGAACTAAAAGAGTTCTAGTTCTAGAAATATGCTATTTTTTCAAAAGTCTGGCAAAATATCTCGAATAAATGACTTCAAAACATAGGAACCTTGTATATTAAATTTTAAGATGTCTTTATAAAAAGCGGGTGTGCATTATACGGCGAACATACCTGAAAATTAAAAAAATTGCAGCTTGAAAGTATGGGTGCGCGTTATACGCCGGATTTTACGGTAATTCTTATCTTAGACATATACACTAGCCAGAAAAAGTCTGCGTTCACTGTTTTAGTAGTAACTATAAAAATTATGTAAAAAGGGAATAATGAGCTATTTAGTAGCTGGTTGGATAACCTCATCATTTGAGAACCTTCTGAAGTCGTTTCGGCATTGAACTAACAAATCTTGTGGTTTTTTCCCTTTGGTCCTTAAGAAGACTCTTCAGCATATCCTTGCTGGATACATTGTGTTGATGAATCTTGCGTTCTAACAAATCTAATAGATGTTCTGTAGGATTCAGATTAGATGACTGAGGGCCATGTGCAGTTGATTTGGGACATTATACACGAGCCAAAGCTTCACAATCTCAGCGGTGTGCTTAGGATCATTGTCGTGTTGAAAATGAAACGATTATCCTAGGCCGAGTTTGATGGCACTTTCCCTTAAATTGTTTTTTAGGACATCAAAGTAATCATATTTTTCATAATTGATTATATATGTTCCAACTTACCAACATCATTGCTCGCCATGCACCCCTACACCATGACTCCATCGCTACCGTGCTTTACCGTTGGTATTAAATGCTGTTTTTGAAGCGCCGTGCAAGGTTTTCTCCATACTAATTTACGACCTTTTATGCCGAAGATACAAAATTTGCCCTCATCAGAGAATATCACAATCCTCCAGAACTCAAGAGGCTTATGTATATGATATTTTTCAAAAGATATCCGCTTAAGTCGGTTTGTCATTGAAATATAAGGCTTTCTGCGAACCACTCGACTATGGTATCTGGCCTTTTTCAAGATTTTTCTTGCAGTATCCGCCCAAATATATATATATATATATATATATATATATATATTTGTTAAACTGCTCATGAATGTCTGTTGTTATTTAAATTGCAGACAAACACGAATTTTTTTTCACCATTGATGTCATACTTCGTTTTTCTCTGATTGTGTGTTTAGATGGACGACTTAAAAGAGGTTTGGATGTGTAAACTCTTGTAGATATAAAGTTATAAATAAGATGCTGGATAGATGAATACTGCCATCCAACGGATCTGGCTATATCCCGACAACTTTTTCCATCTTTTCCCATTTTCCCACTGATTTTACACTCACGGATACTAATTTCCTTCTTTTTTATTTTCCATGTCCTTGAATTGCTTCGCATCTCACAAAAGTCACAATTTTCTTAAGTTATTTTACTCGATAACTAAATGCAAACAATCTGTTAACCTATAACGCCTGTTGATATGAATTTCATGAATCAAGAATATTCAAAGAGTGAACGCAGACTTTTTCTGCCTACTATTTGTGTGCTTTGCTACAAAACTCCCGTTATCTTAAGTAGTTATAGTTCAAATTTAAAAAATTCGTGCATGCTCAATATTTAAATAATAGTAAACAAATTGATGAAATTTTGTTGGAAAAAAAATTATATTTTCTATTAAATTTTACCTTTGCTGTATAATTCCTTATGAGTGAACGCAGACTTTTCTAGCTAGTGTACGCAACAAATTTAAAGTTACCATCAAAATGTCTGTTTAAATGAATGTGAAACATTTCTCAAATTTATGAGTATTTAAGTATTAATACACTCAAGTCTAAGGAATAACACTTATGATTCAACTGTTTTTAATGCATTTTTTTAAGGTATTAACTTCTTTCCTTCAGACTCTAGCTGAAATCTAAAATATATCTCAGATTATTGCTTAAAATTATATTGAAATTAGCTACAAATTGTTGAAAATCTATAACTATATCTTCATTTGCAAGTGATGCTTGAAAAAAAATGTTCTTGTTGAAAAATGAACCGTGTGCAGCTGTGTATTTTATTCCTACTGAAGATTAACGAAAACGATTATTTTTAACCTTGAAAAATATTCATAACTTTTCATTCCGTAAATAATAATTTTCAAATCCTAATTTTGAAGGAATTGTTGAACCAAGTTAGTCAGAAAAATGTTCTCTTACAATGTATTACATAATTCAGAGCAGAAAAAAAAACAGTCATGATGAACGAGACACGACATCTTATCCTCCATTGGGAAATGTTTCTGATTGTTTCAGTAGTGTTTTAATTCTTAAATAAAAAAAAATCATTATTTGATGCCAAATAGTTGTTTTTTGAAATATAATATTTAAGTGAAATTTTTGTGTAAATTAGCAAAACATTGATCATGTGTCATACTTTTTAAATTTATTTTAAGCGAATTGTCTAAATGTAAGATTTTAAGTCTTAATATAGATGAGTGCTGCCCCACCTAGTATGGTGGTTATAACAACAGTATGGATGAGTATATATAAATGTCGCAATTCCTTTTTTAAAAAAAACAACATTTTCTTAATTTTTGTGGGGTAAATCATAGCGAATAAACGAAAAACTTTAACTAATTTTATTCAATTATGCTTTTTTTTTAAATTGAAAAATAGAAACTTTTAGATTCGACATTTTTTAATGTTTCATCCATATAATAACAATAACAACTCTCAACAACAACCATAAAAGCTATCTAATATTTTTGGGTTAAGACCATTAATTTCTGTCATATTTGAAACAGTACAAACTTATTGATCTGTTTTAAAATTAACACAAAAATTTATTTTGAAAATGTCTGCAAAATGGAAAAAAAGAAAAGAAAATAACTTGCACATTCATTTAACAGGGATATAAAAAAAAAAAAATTCGAGTAGATTTTCAAATAAAGCATAAGTCACTTGTAACCTCATTGAAAACGGCTTTACATTATATAATTTTCTCATATAATTCTGTAATGTAAATTTCAATTTATTAAACGATTAAAAAAAAGATCTTTGAGAAACTTCAGTAGCTTAGTGAATTCTAGAGTTCGAACTAGTATAATTCTAGAGTTCGAATATCGATTCCATCCAAAACAATCATGTGAAATAATGGAACTATTATAAGTGAAATCCAACAGCGTCTCAAAATCCTTCGATAACATAGGACGGGAATAGAATACAGGATTAGTGCCGTCAGCATCATTTGCCCACTGTTCAGATTTATGAAGTCCACAACTATTGATGTGTTGGGATATTTTAGTCCCAAGTTGGGTTGTTTGGAATTAGTTGGGATATTTGAGAATTATACTGAGGAACCTTATAATTCTAAAAGTTAAACCTGGCATTGCAAAATATTCTTTAAAAAATCAATAATATCTAAAAAAAATTAAATCATTAGTTAAAGTAATAACGCCCAGTGACCGAGTGATAGCGTATCGCGCTTCCACGCCACAGGTCCGGGATTCAAATCCCGGGCTGTGCAAGGCTGACACAGCCTTTCATCCTTTCAGTGGGTCGATAAAGGAGAACCAAGCTTGCTTTGGAACTAAACACTGGGGATTACGCGTCAGAATGATCACTTGATCGGAACATCTGCTCATGCAACTCAGGGTCCATGGTCACGAAAACTGAGATGGACACAGTAAGCCTTGGCTCGCCATGGGCTGTTGCGCTATTGAGTTTAGTTTTTAGTTAAAGTAATAATGCTATACATTCTGTTTTCTCTATTAAGCAATAATGGATTATAAAATGTAAAGGTAAAATATTATGAAATACAAAGTTTTCGATTTTGCTTTAATAAATGAACAAATTAAAACATTGGAAATTGATTCATTGGTCATTAATGCCAAATTTCCGATTAAGCTTTTATATTTCTGAGCCACAGTCAAATGACAAAGGCAATATTTGAATTCCCACCTCGACATCTGACGATAAATTTGAAATTTTGAATTTCAATACCACACCGACGTTAGAGCTTTCACGTTGGTGTGTTGTGGAAGATTATTCGACTTATATTTAATCGTCCCTCAGTTCTCGAATTCACAGCTCTACAGATGTGATGCTGACCGCAAGTTTGTGACCTTGACCACTTGGCTACCGCAGTCTGAAAATAATGGAAAAAGGTCTAATAAAGGTCTTCGCGGCCAAAAAGATGTCACTTTTAATATTTAGCTAGCTCACCTTTAGTTCGGATTATAGCGGACATTCAGTGTGGCGTTGTTTCAATATGAGATTTTGTATGACTTCAAAGTTTATTTTCGAAAACATTTGTTTTGCAACTACGTGAAACAACTTTACGTACACTTGTAGCCCGTTGTGCAGTGCTTTAACACTATTTAAAGGTTAAATTACCAAAACAGCAATAACAATCGCTAAATTACCGTGGTTTGGCTCTTATGTATTTACATATTTATTTTTACATGGCGTTGTTTTTTTTTTTCTTCTTTCGAACATGTAATAAAATGGAATTTAAAATAAGTAAAAATAAAATTTGAGAAAGAGAAATCTGAAATATATATATCATAAACATGGCTATATCTACCTTCACACAGTGTATTTATATAAAGACTATTCAACTGTTTAAAAATTCAAATTCAAATGTAACAAGTAATATAATTTTTTTTAAAAATCAGTTCCTACTTACGTCAACAAAGGAAAATTTTATTTCGGTTACTTTTTATTAAATAGTTACAATTAATATAAATATTATGTACATATGACAGAAGTAATGAATATTAAGTGACAAAATCGAAAGTGATTTTCCTTGCAATTTACCATTTCCCCTTTTATATAAGATGTTGGACAATTTTTTGTTTGTTTGTTACTATTTATTCATGAATTCAATTTAATTATTCCAATAAAATAGTACAGTAAGAAAGAAATCACATTCCCAGAAATTAAGCCATCCCAAGTGGGCTTCGAACCCACGACTTTGAAGAAGAAGTCCAACGCGCTATCCATTGTGCTACAGGGATACAACAAACGACTTTTCTTTCTATACAGTGGGTGATCGGTTAACGAACATTTTCACGAAAGATTTTTGTGTTCGGATAACGAACACTTTCAAGAAAGATTTCTTGTGTTTGGACAACGAACACATATTCAGAGGTGCTCAGGGATACACCCCTGAAATTAGGGATGAAATTTTGACAACTGCTAGAGATCTGGAATCGGAGGTGAACGAGGATGACATAGAAGAGCTCACAATGGGACATGAAGATGAACTGACGACAGAAGAACTTCTAGAAATTTTGAATGAAGAACACCAAGAAACACAGCGAAATGTGTCTCCTTCTGAACAAGAGGAACACGAAAGAGGACCAATGCCGACATCTGCCATTAAAGATCTTTTGAAAAAGTGGGAGGCTGTCAGAGCAATGGTTTTAGAATGGCACCCAAACCAAGCTGAGGTCAGTAGGGTTGGGGATCTTTACAACAACATTGCTATTAATTACTTCCGGAAAATCCTGAAAAAGATAGAAAAGCAATCGGCATTGGACATGTTCTTCAACGACCCATAAGCAAAAAATGAAAAGGACTGATTAATATGCAAGACTATATGTGTATGTATTATTTTTTTAAAAAATTACTAAGAAATTATACATTTTTTAAAATTTAATTTTTAGGGTCCCCAGAACGAATTAATCGACTTTACATAGAAGTTTATGGTGAATCGATGATCGGTTAACGAACAATTCGGATTGCGAACATAGTCTTGGAACGGATTATGTTCGTTAACCGATCACCCACTGTATATGCTATTGGACTATTATTTTTGTTTGTTACCATTTATTCATTTTTTAATTATATTATTGAATTAATATTTGAAAAAACTATATTAACATCAAGTGTCAAGTTTAAAAAAATGTATTTGAACTTGAATGACTGAATAGAAAGTTGAGGATTGAAAAAATTTGAACAAGATATATACATAAAGGAGAGAGTGGACTAATAGTAGAAATTGAAAAAGAAAAATTAAATTGACGTTCAATTATAGGAGTCATACAAATAAAAATTTTCATTTTCAAAATTTTCAAATAGTATTTGAAATAAAATTAAATTAAAAAATAATGAAGACATCGTGAGCTAAAGTTTCCGATGTAATACCTAAACTACAGGGAGCCGAACAGTGTGGTCATGGTCGCAAGCTCGTGGCCGCGTTGACGAGCCGTAGGTTCGAGACCTAGTGCCACTGAAGATCCACCGTGAAGAGAGAATGACGCATGTTAAATCTGTCTAGATCAAATTCCTCCCGTTGATGTGGTATGGTAGTTAGGAGAGGAGTAGCTCAGGTGTCGTCCTCGTCACTTAACCGTGGTTCAGAATTATATACGAGTCTAGCATCAACAGCCCTCGTGTTACTTCTGTGCAATATTAATTAAAATGATATAACATAAACCAGAGACATTATTTAAACAGAGAATAATACATTTTTTTGTTCCTTATATGATGAAATAGCTATGAAAGGATCAATGACACTATAATTAAATAAAATAAAATTAGCGTATTTATTAAAATCTAAACCGCACCCCAAATTCTCAACAAGATTTCGTGAAAAATGAAAAATAGAGTGAAATGGTTCATCGCGCGGCGCGCGCGCGCGCGCGATATCCAATTTTACGAAATGAAAATGAAAATGAGAGCTAATAAAAAGTGGGTAATTAGTTATTTTATCTCACAAAGAAAGGGCACGACTAAAGAAATTCATTTGGGGTCGAGACTTGGTGTAATAGTAGTACTCCTTTAGGGTGTTCAACCCTCAATGTAATTCCGCCGAATGGGCAGTCAATTCGGAGAAAAAAAGCCTTCGAAATTCATGCTTAGCTTTTATACAATTAAGTTTCAATTTCCTCCAACGATTTCGTAGCTTGATTGATATATCGTCTGCATACTATGCGCGAGGTCTGGGTTCGATTCATCGATCAATTTTTTTTCATTTCATTTAATTATTTTTGAAATTAAATAAACTTATTTATGAAAGGTTTATTAAATATTAAATGATATTAATGAGTCAAGATATTGAAAGTGTTTTGTGCGATTATTTGCAAACGACGCATTTCTCTCTTCAGCTGGACGAGTCAACTTTACCCGGAAATGAATCATTATTATTGGCCTATGTTCGTTTTATTATGGACCAGGGGCACCACGAAGAAATGCTCTTTGCAAGAACTTTGACAACCGACACTAAAGGCGAATCCATATTTAACGTTTTGAAGGAATATTTCATGGTAAATTCAATACCCTTATCAAATATAATATCATTAGTAACAACAAATGGAGCACCTGCAATGGGCGGGTGCTATCATCTATAGGCCATTTAAAACAAAATGTACTTGGGGTGTTAGCAATACACTGCGTTATCCATCGACAGCATTTAGTTGCTAAAAATTTGAAGGACAGATTACTTGAGTCTTTTCAATTTGTCATAACTACGATAAACCGAATCCGAAGCAAAGTGTTGAATACACGTTTATTGGCGCAGTTATGTGAAGAAAATGACGAGCATTTTCATCAGTTACTCCTTCACACGGAAGTCCGCTGGCTGTCGAAAGGCTTGTGTTTGACAAGATTTTTTACCCTTTTTGAGACTGTTTTAGAGTTTTGGATTCTAAAGATACAATTTTATATATAAGAGGAAATTTAATTAAGAGGAAAACAGACATTGCCTTCTTAACAGATTTGCTTAGTAAATGCAATGATGTTAACTTGCAGTTACAAGGTGATAGCTTAAATTTGATTAAAACGAAGTCCATCATTTTAGCGTTTCTGGCCAGAATTAAACTAATGAAACAAAATATTGGACTACGTGAGTTTTCCCAATTTCCCAATTTGTCTCAGACAAACTGCCAAGAAGAGGACATTTTAACCTACATTCAGCATTTGAATGCCCTTCGTTCAGATTTTGAAATTACGTCTAAAGATATTTTGACTATGGTAATACCACAGTGGATAAAATCAATCCATATGGTGACATTGAAGAGACGGATGTCGCTTTACAAGAGGAACTGATTGGAATAAGTACAAACGAAGAACTTAAGGTTCAGTTTAAAAATGGATATCAGAAATTCTGGCTTCAAAAAGATATACCTCTTATTTATCCCATATTATATAATATCGTTGGAAAATTTTTAATTGCTTTTCCATCATCGTACCTAGTGGAAAGAGATCTCAGCGCGGTTACCAATCTACTAACAAAAAAAGAAAAAAAGAAATGGACTAGACACTGGACATTATTAACCAAGGAGATTTAAGACTGAACCTGACTAAATCGATGCCAAATGTTCAAAAATTGTTATTACAGCATCAGGTCCATCCTATCCCATTAAAAGCACTTATTTTTTGCTAAGTTATTTTTTGTAAAAAAATTGATTTTAAATTTTAGTTTAATTATTTGATTTAAATTAAATTAATTAATTGCGGTTTTAACTTAATTGTTATTTTTATTTAACTGTGATTTTTATTTAATTAACTGTAATTTTTATTTAAATAATTAATTGTGACTTATTTAATTAATTGTGATTTTTATTTAATTAATTGTGATTTTAATTTAATTAATAAACATTTAAAATTAACATGAGTTTTCTATGATGAATTTTCAAAAATTCAATATTAAGTAAGCAGGGGGTCTACCTCAAACCTGAAACTATGAAAAGGAGTCTATGAATCAAAAAAGTTTGGGAAACTATGATTTACATAATAAAAGGAAAAATTAATTATTAACGGAATTGTTTCAAACTTTAAGTACGCTGTAATATAAACAGATGCGGGAACTCAATAGCGCACACAGGAATCTTTCAAAGGGAGTGTCCAGGGTCGAAAGATCACCATTCTTGTATTATGCTCCTTTTGATTTTGTAGATTTTCGGGAACAAAAAAACAGTAAAACTAATTATTGAAAAATTATTAGCACCAATTAATAAAATTAAACATTAATAACAAATACTTAATTAAATTTTACGTACTATATACTTAGAATTATAATCAATCAGAAAAAAAATAAAGGGCTTTGGGGGGGATCCGGACCCCTAGGACTCCCCTCCCCTTGTGTGCGCCACTGCGTGAACTACAATATTGCAAATTTTCATGAAAGTTTAAGCATTCTTCTGTTTGTAAATGGGTTCTCTAATTGATTCATTCAGGCTTTTGTACTTGCGAAGACAGCCTTAACCCTTTATCTACCGATGGTACTTTTTAAGTACCACTCACTTTAAAATGACATAGAATAACCATTTTTACGAATTCTCTGACGATACTTAACAGAAATATTCTTTGAAATCCACTCTTCCAAGATATATGGCAGCACGGGTTCTAAAATGATTGTTTTAGCGGGGAAGGCGAATAGTTTTATAGCAGAAACGGCGTTTTCAGCGCATTGTGAAGATTATCATTTTTGTTCCGAAAAAATAGTTAATGTCAAAATATAAGTGTCTTATTTTTTTGTATGTTAATGAAGTCCTTATAGAAAATGATTTGACTATTTATTTTAAGTAAACAGTGTGTATAATTAATTTTACAGTTGATTATCTTTAATTAATTAATTAGCTCTAACGGGTTAAATTTCCCAAAGTTGAGTATTTTTTTTGCGTATATCCCTTAATTTTCAATGTAGTGATTCAAAAAGAAATATTTCATAAAAAAAAACTGTAATAAATCATAATGCGGTAGATAAAGGGTTAAAATGACCTTGAACCTGACTGACAAAGTAGAATTGTCTTGATCAGAAAGGAAGTTGCTCTTACTGATAACATTTTCCCCCTTAACGAAATATGAAAACTACATGAGCTCTAGATCAGTGATCCGCACCCCCCGTTCCGTGGATCAAATGGTGCCGGGCCGTCTTAAGAACATTAAAAATAGCTATTTTATTTAAAGTGGTGCATTTCTCTCGGATTTGCGCAACTTTTCACGGAAATCACTTTTATTCATTTTTGGTGTTACTATATTTTATTCTGAAGGCATATTTAAATGTAACTAA